GAAACTCAAATGTAAATATTCTAATATTTTGAGATACTGGATTTTTGACTTTCATGAGCTGTAAGCTCTAATGTTTTACGTTTTACTTGATGTTTTACTTGACATGTAATGAATCTAGAATATATGAAAGTTTCACTTTTTGAAAGAAAAAAGAAAACTATAATTTTTTTTAGATGCACCTGTATATATATACATATATCACCACTGATCTTAAGACAAATGTTAAGACAGATTAAATGCACCTTTGACCATCATTTATTGGTAATATTTTACAACATGGTTGTCATTTTTTACAGCAGTTATTACATTTTGTGTACTGTTCATTTATAAATATACTACTGTCCATTTTAATTTCTAATGCATTAATGTTACTATGTAGACATGAACATATGATTAATTAAAATGTTACCCATTTATCTGTCAAATAATGCATTTTGTTGTATATTTCTGCATGTAGCTGCCACAGGAGACATGCCAGCATATCAGATCCGCTCCCCGTCATCAGGGTTACCACCAGGCGTCGTTATGGCAGCGTCACCGGGGGCCATGCACAGCCCACAGCAGAACACAGAGGAGGCCACACGCAAGAGAGAAGTTCGCCTGATGAAGAACAGGTACACACACACCTGAGTCATGTGCTTCAACTAATGCACTGATGTGCATGTTGGCATCTGACCTTTTCTTGCATGTTGCAGGGAGGCGGCGCGCGAGTGTCGCAAAAAGAAGAAAGAATATGTGAAGTGCTTGGAGAATCGTGTCGCTGTGCTGGAAAACCAGAACAAGACTCTCATAGAGGAGCTCAAAGCTCTTAAAGACATCTACTGCCACAAACCAGAATAACCCTCACAAACACTGCGCAAGGACTGTGTGATTCACACACTACCTGTCTCTTCTCTTCTTCTGTTGCATCGCCTGGATTTTAGCGGGGTTTTTTTTGTTCGTTTGGCCAAATGTTTTTATAAGATGTTGCTAATGTTGCTTTGAGGATGCTCCTCACAAACACACACACACACACACATACATTTTAAGATGGGCGTATTTTGAAAAAAACTGAACTCTTCATTGATTTGTGTGTAAAAATATGTATTTTCCTTTTTTAGGTTGAAATCAGAACAAGCAAAGGAAATGGCATAAGCAGCCATGTTAAGTGGCTACACACTGCACACATAAACAGCATTTTTGGTGTTAAGGTCATTTTTGGTATGCACAGAATTTAGCTGTAAATATAAAGAAAATACACTGTAAACCCATTTGAAGCAACTTAAATTGATGGATTAATAGCAGCGACAATCTATTCAGTAAACCTGACTGACTCTACAAAGCTTACATTTTGCATTTAAATTGGGTCCTTCATGTAAATTAGATTTCAATCAAGTTTGTACATTTCAATATGAATTTTGTAATTTGTTCTTAATAAAGAAAATACTTAATGCAGTACCCCGGAAGTCACAACTTTAGTTAATGCTGTTTATGTGTGCAGTGTTAAATGCCTAATTGTTAAAACGCAACACTGTCCACTGATTGTTTTAATGTAAGTGAAATTATGTGCATTAGATTGAACTGTTTGAAGTTGTTTATTAGTAGTCATTTGAGCTCATGGCTGAATGTAACAGTGACCTAAAACTTCACCAAGAAACGTGACATAATGTTGGTGATTACATAATGTTGACGTAAATGTTTAAACGGATAGTTCACCCAAAAATGTACAGTTTGTATGCTGTTTGCGTTTCTTTCTCCTGTTGTACACAAAAGATGACATTTTTAAAAATGTCTCAGTTTTTTTGACCATACAATGCAAGTCAGTCAGATCCAGTTTTGGACCTCACTGTCTTACATTGTGTAGACAAAACCAGTTCTTCAAAATACCTTCTTTTGTTTTCTGCGGAAGACAGTCATACAGGTTTGGAATTACATGAGGGTGAGTAAATAATTAGAATGTTAATTTTATGGTTGAACTGTCCCTTTAAGACTACTACTAACTCTCTTTATTATTATTATTACAGATTTTTCATTTAGCACTATTTTATTCAATTTGTACCATACGCACAACTATGTCAATTGCTTCATGTCTTGGTAAAATTAAGTCATTTTGTTAAAATAAATTTTACTATACCAACTCAATATGCAGAGACAAACTATAAATTAACCATTTGTAAGTTGATTGCTCTGTTTGTTTGAGCATCCCAACATAGCAACATTGGCTCAACCAATGGAGTGATTTTTGAGGCATATCTGTTTGTTAATGAAAGATGGATGGAGTGTTTTGAAAACCTGTTTGAACATGTTTATTTTTTTTTTCAAATCCATTTGGTGAATATTTGGAGCTAGAGGCGAGAAAATTACTCTTTAGCTTTAATGCTTCGTTTATTTGTGTCTCCAGTTCATATCGTGAGGAACAGTACATGACTTTTGCATGAACAAAGCAAAAAGGTGTAACATTATGAATTGTAAACATGATAGGTGGTTGTCACAAATGTTGCTTTTGATGTAATATTGTATATTATTTTAAATCTCAGTAACTTGTATTTAATTGTTTATGATAGTAGAAGAGAATTGTGAAAGAAAAGAGGCTTTTGTGAGTAATAAGAATGCAGATTCTCTAAATCAGACAAGTGGCATTAACTGAACAGAATTCCTAATATTTCAGCTGTTAGGATGCCAGTGTGTGTATCTTCTGTTTTCTCAGACTATGCTAGTCATCTTAACTTTATCTTCACTTACAGCCAATCACATTTCTGTTTCTAATGTTCTATTCTATGAAGTCTGGGCAGAAAATTGAATTGGTTTAATATTTATATAGCTTGTTTTCAATTAATCTTTAAATTAGATTGTATGCCCTGCCCTTCTTTAACACTGTACAGAACGCTGAAATCTATTTTTAATAAAATATTTTTGTAAATGTATATGATCTTCCTACATGGTCAGACCTGCATTTTGAGAAGCACTATTAACGGTGTATGTGTGTACAAAAAAAAAAAAAGTATCTAGCTGAACCTGACAAAACCTCACCTTATGGGGACACGCTCATTTGTAGAAAAAAAAGGGAAACAATATTCAAAATAAGGTTATTTTAAATGCAGTCAGTGTTCTTTTAGGGTGTGGGTTAGGGTTGTGGTATTTAGAAGTAGCTGTATAAAAACAATTGCAGTATATGAAATGTCCCCCAAATAGATAGCTAAGTTTTTCCACCTTTAAAAAAAATGTTTTATTAAACAGATCAAGCTGGTGACCTTCAAGGATTTGTTTCGCCACAGAATTTTGTGTTGCACATTTTCTCAAGTATCAGCATAAGATGCTTTGAATGATCTCCAAGCCTAGTTAGGCTGGTCTGTTGGTTGTTTTAGATGGGTTTTAACCACTTTTCAAATGGTCAAGCTGGGAGATCAGCTTTCTAACCAGCTAAACCACATGAACACCAGCTGGGCCCAACTGGGAGATCAGTTTGAACCACTTAAGACCAGGAAAGATTCAACCTACTTCAAGATGGTTTCAGCAAGGTATACTTAAATAGTACAAGTGAAATCTTTCAGTGCTACTTTGGTTTCTTCCCCTCTCTCCCTTTCTTTACTGTACTACTATTGTAAATAAATTACTTTATATGTACAGATTTTTTTTTTAGCTGCTTTTTAGCTTTATCTGCATGTTCAATTCTTCGTATTATAATATATTGCGTGCATTCGAGCTGTTTTGACGTTTGTAATCAGAAAGAATATTTGAATGATCTAACAAGTTTGTCAAGCTGTTTGAGCGCTAGAATGTGCTGCATCATACCTCTGCGTTTGGCACAAACAGAGGCAGACATGGAAAATTCCAGTGTGTGAGCGCGCCCTCTACTGGAACACTACAGCTGGATTTCTGTACGACACTGTCATCTAGTGGACGTTCAACAACAAGAGCTTATAATTATTTTTTTACGTTACTAGTGCTTATGTTTTAATTGCTAGTGCGTAATCCAAATCGCAGTAGTATCTTTGTTAAATGATTATATATTTAAAATCGCAATTGTTTTCTTTTAATCAAACTATGTAAAACCTAATTTCATTCAAACTCCACTGCTACCTTCAAGAGTCAAGAGAAAGTTTAAGTAAAAGAGTTAACGTTTCTTAACCCCTTCAGGCCCTGCTGCCATTGAAATGGACACAGGAATTTTTGTTTAAACCAATAAAATGTTATGTTTTTATAATGAGAAATGTCCCTGATTAACCAATGACAATGAAGATATGACTCCTAACGGAATCTGAGCTACAGGCATCATAAAAACAGACATGACTGACTAACTAGACAGGAAGAGGTCCCTGCAAACAAGCCTGTGCTGGGGTAGGGTTGCCACCTTCAGCTAGGCAAAAGAAAGGGACACCCACTCATGACCCTCCCCCTCAAAAAAAAAAACCGCCAAGGACACAAATAATCAGTTTGGAACTCATAGCTCAACAGTAAACCACGAGAAAACATGCTGAAGTAGGCTATGTAAACTTGCAACTGAACACATTAATAGTGTTATTTTAAATTTGATTATTTATAACTATGAATTATCATTAGTCTTTTTTGACAGTTCTGCAGCTGCTACCAGGATGGGATACATTTTTGGTTCACCCAAAAAAATTAAAATTCTGTCATAATTTACCCAGGTTTTTCTAAACCTGCATGAAGTTCTGTTGAACACAAAAGAAGATACTTTGAAGAATGTGGGTAACTAAACACATCCACATGTCACTTTTCGACGTAACCTACACTCACTCTCACCCTCCCAGCTATCTGCTATGGTTTCATCTTCGCTTCCTTCCCCTGAACAGTTATCATCTCTTGATGTTAACAGTGCTACTGATACTTTCTGCTCCACTCTTACATCTTGTTTAGACACTGTCTGCCCCTTGTCTTCCAGGCCAGCTCGTACCACCTCTTTTGCCACTTGGCTATCTGATGTTCTCCGTGAGCATCGTTCTAAGCTCAGAGCTGCAGAAAGAGTATGGCACAAATCACAAAATCCTACTGACCTTAATGTATATCGATCACTCCTCTCTTCATTCTCTGCTAATGTCTCCACTGCTAAAAGGACATACTATCACAACAAAATT